GGTGGCGTGGTGGCGCGGGGCCGGGTGACGCGGCCGGGGTGGACTTGTCCTCCCCCCAAACCACCCAGCTACAGAAATGTGTGTGGAGCCGCTCAGTGACACTGCCCTCCCTCGACCCCGTTCCCCGGAGCCGGGGTCCAGTCCAAAGCGTTCACGCGTTCAGTGGGGATGAAAGAAATGCGCCCCCAGGAAATTCCCCCACCCCCTTAGAAAAAGAAAAAAACAAAAAAAGAAAAAGGAAAAAAAAGAACGGTCACAGGCTCCTCCATTGTTCCAGTTTTTTTTTTTTTGACAATTCAAAATACAGTTTACCTTTCGCATCTCTCCTCGAGTTTAAACGTCCCCCCCCCACGTTCCATTTATTTGCTATGTTTAGAGAAATTATATTGACTATGCCACAAAACAGTTAAACCGGAAGAAGCTACTTTATAGCCTAGCTGGGTTTCCCTGCATTCTAATATCTAGAAAACTAGATTTATAGGTAGAATTAAGAAAAGAAATTGCATTTAGAACATTTGAAAACTTAACCAGGAAACTGTCCTGTGCTGTATAGCTTAAGGAGAAGTTTAATATCGGTTTGCTGCTCAAGAAAACAAGTAGAAATGATCAAATTAATCCATTGTCATTACCAATTCCATGTAGGTTTGGTTAGAAAGTTTACAGCAATGCTGAATCCTAAATATTGCGCGCACAATAGATTATTGTGCTAAAATCCTACTGGCTTAAAAATGTGTTCATTCAGTTAGCATTTTTGACTTCCCATGTGACAAACTCATCAAGGTACCTTCACCCGGATAGATTAGGAGGTATACTTTCACATTTAAATGTATGTTTATGTTTTAATTCAAATAACCCAGTGGGGAAGTTACATTGTATACTTCTTGTCATTGCAAGGGATTGGCTATAATTTCATTGTCTAAAAGAGATCATTATATTCCGCAGGAAGTTTAAAACTGCATTATTTCATGATAGGGTTAGCATAGTATGCTAAATGTCATTTAAATGTATTCAGTTTGATGCTCTTTGCTCTTAGAACCAAATTTACTTGTTAGGAGGCATATTTCTCCCCTTACATGGCATTATTTTTGGCAGACTCGCCCTTGCCGAGTATTCCATTTTTAATCATTCCCATTCTGCTGCTTTGAGCTTTTCTTAGCTCAAATGAGCTAGATGTAGGATTTCCTCCGGGGAATTTTAGGGGTCAATCCTAGCAGGAAAAACCTAGACGTCTCTATGGAAGCCCAAGAGAACAAAACAATTCAGATTTGCACAGATGGTCAGCTGTTTCAGTGGGCGTATGGTCGTTTAGCATTTTTAGTCTTTAAAAGGGGAAGACAGCTTGGTTTTTATCAGAGAACCTTTTTTTTTTAATTGAAAAATTTTGTTCTATCTTATAACTCCCAAGTTCAGGGTGGCCCATTAAACCTGTCACTTTTGCCTGCTTCTTTAGGCGAGCCTGTGGGATTTCTGAGCCCCCAACTGCGGACATTATTTCGGTCTAACTCCAGGGTGACGTCTGCACCCTGGGACAGCCCCAGTCTCCAGATTTCTTTCCCATAGACTTCCACACCTGGGTTCCCCTCAGTTGCTTTCTAGCAGCCGGGGTCAACTCTGGTTTAGGATAATTGCTCCGTCTTCCCCTTTCACTCCTCCTTCGCCTCCTGGGAGCCCGGTCTGCAGCCCGGCCCCGCACCGCCTCCCCGGCCCCAGGTCCCCTCGGGTCTGCCCCAAGCTGTCAGGCGGGCAGGCAGGGGTTAACTGCGCTCGCGGCTTCAACTCTGGGAAGTACCAGCCGGCTTTGGCGCGGCCTCTGGAATAACCTTGGCTTTCCTCGCTCTTTTAATAGAACATCCGCCACCAAAAAGTGGTTTCAGTTCAGGGTTAATAATGCGTCCCCATCCACCCTCCAACCAACCAACACCCTACCCCCTTCTTCTTTTTTTTTTTTTCCTCCTTTAAGTTGTTTTTCAAAGTTAATTAGTTTCAAGTTTCACAATGACTTTCCCCTTCCCCCAAGGCGTTGCTGAGGAAACCCCCTTGGGGTCCCCCCCCACCTCCCGGGCGCCC